GGAGCGTAGATAAATAACCTGTTGCTCTAACTCAAGAAGATGATTACGGAGAGTTTCAAACAGGAAATTTTGTCCAAATAACGACACAACAGTGAATAACGATTTATACTCAGGTCCCAGTCCCATAATAGTAGTCTTTAACACTTCACAAGGAGTCGCAGGGCAATTCAATGTGGCAAGATCATCAACTAATGTTTTTAATTTCTCGCAGATAATTATCCATGGACTGGTCAGGTTTCCTTTTGATTTGATTAAATAACCGTTTTAATTCCATAGATCGGGCTAAACTAGCAGACATAAATCGAGACTCTAACCGCTCCCAAATCTCATAGGAATGTTTTAAATCACGAACATCAATAAGAACATCCCGAGACAGGGTTGCAAATAACCAAGAACGAATTGTTTGATCAATTCGCAACCAAGTAGAAAATTCTGGATTGGGAATTTGACGGTTAAGAGCATCTATGGAATAAGTAGGTGGTACCTAAATGGAGCCATCAACCCTGTCAAGGAGAGCTTGGGACACCAGAAACGATTCAAATTGTGTCTGCCAAGTAGTGTAGTCTTCCACCGCTAAAAGTTTGGTAGTCACAATATTTGTGACATTAGTGGCCACATGAGAGATGGTTTGGGCAAGATCCGTGAGTAAAGTCTCGGCCAGGCTGGTTGGTGGTGTGCGAGATGGGAGCATGATGGTGGAGACACCAGGTGAGCCAACGAACGTGGGGCCAGCAAAGGAAGGGTCGACTGAGAGGGGAGGCGGCTCTAGAGGTACCTACTGCACGGGAATGGGAGCCGACCAAGGGAACACTGGTGGAGCATGCTGAAACAGAAAGTATGGCATAGAGAGCCGGCTTGGTGATGCAAAGTTGGAGGAGAAAGTCACACCGGAAGAGACGGAGGAGATTGCCGACAGCGATCCAAACGACGGAGGGGCACCGGCGGTGGTGACTGAAATTGCCGCTGCGGGTGAAGACGGCTGAGCAGTTGCTGCCGCCGTGCTGAAAGCGGAAGCCGAGGATGACATAATGCAGCGGTGGTCGGCGCCAAAGAGAGGAGGGCGACGAACTATGGTGCGGCGCCGAAGGGAGGACGGCGGCGGCGCTAGGGTTTAGTGAGAGAGAGAGGATTGGAAAAAAAATTAATGTGCTCTTGATACCATGTGAGAATAATGGATAGGTTACTCCCTCAGGAGCCCTGGCAGATATATTTATAATAAAGAGAGTTTAATGTAAAGTACAATACTAAGCCTCTAATAATTCTATTATACATTACATAAACAATTACTCTTTCTTCCAAAATGTAATACAACTTTTACTTGTTTATGCCATAAATCAAACAACAATTGTGAATAATGTCACAAATCAAACAACAACTACATTCAAACAATAACAACTGTGAATAATGCCATCGTTTTGGCATTACCTTATTTGCTTTACCCCAACATGGAGAATTAAATTTAGAGCTAAATTTTATTTCAAAATATAATTAAACTTTCACTTGTTTATAACATAAATTACACAGAAACTGCCAACTTAACCACATTCACTGCATTTTAGTGTTCTCATTCAAAATACTTTCATTTTCTTCTCATAAATTAAATACTCGCACCAACAAATCCTCCATGTTCCACGTGTGGGATGACAAGTGTGAGAAGGGGTTTCTTGAGCTGAAGAAACGGTTGACTGAAGCACCAATACTTGCTCTACCCGTGCAGGGGTTAGGGTATGACATTTATAACGATGCTAGTATCCAGGGGCTTGGGTGTGTACTGATGCAATCGGGTAAGGTAATTGCTTACGCTTCTCGGCAGTTGAGAAAGCATGGAGTAAATTAACCCACACATGACCTGGAGCTAGGAGCTGTGGTGTTTGCTTTGAAGATTTGGAGGCATTACCTCCACGGAGAGTTGTGTCACATCTATACCGATCACAAGAGTTTGAAGTATGTGTTCACACAGAGAGAGTTGAACATGAGACAAAGGAGATGGATGGAGTTGATCAAGGACTACAACTTGATCATTGAATATCATCGAGGGAAGGCTAGTGTGGTAGCCAATGCTTTTAGTAGGAAGAGTTCATCAGAGGTTTTACTCACATGTTTACAAGCATTGAGGGCACACATGGAGGTATCCACGGATGGGGCGTTACTGGCCAGATTTGAGGTGAGACCCACCTTATTAGACGAAATCAGAACATGTCAAGGCAATGACAAGGTATTTCAGAAAATCCGGGAACGAATGCTTGTGGGGCCCGTCGAAGGTTTCCGTGAGAGAGAAGATGAACTTCTACTATTCAAGGAACGAGTGTGTGTACCATCAGATGAGGAGTTCCGTAAATCTATCCTTGAGGAGGCTTACTCATCTGCTTATGCCATGCACCCGGGCGGTACAAAGATGTATCGGGACTTGAAAGAAAGTTACTGGTGGTCGGGGATGAAGAGAGAGATTGCAGAATATGTGAGCCGTTGTCTTTCATCATTTTTTATAACATGAATGATATGTTTTAGCATCATGGAATGATTTTATTGCAAGTAAAAGAAAACTCATGTCTCAAATACAAACACAAAGTTTATCTCGAAAATTGAGTGATAAATGAATCTTAGACAAGAATACTCAACAAGGGTTGGCTGTACGGTAGCAAGCTCCCTGATTTTAAATAGGTTTTAAGCCAGCAACAAGTTAGTATAGATTCAGCAGAGGTTGAAAGTATTAGGCCTTCTTAAAGGACCTCTGGAAAGTATAAAGGTTGTGATATTGTTGCTAGCCGATATCATCACCCTAGAAGCCGCCATTGCAGAACGTTTGCTATAAAAAAACCTTGGATTTACCCTGATTGCCTCTTGCACACTCACTTGTTCTTCTATGAAAGAAATTCGTGCATAAAGAAAGGGGATTGGATCTATGGACAGATCTAAGTTCAGCAGCTCCTACTTGTTAAATATAACATTTTGACATATACTCTTCTAATTCATTTTACCTATTGTATCCCCCACCACTTAGAACCTACAAAGGGAAGCAAATGCTTGTTGTATGAATATACCTAGAGACTGAAAAGATGTCATTGAAAACAACACATACCTATCTAAGCCCAAGTGAAAATCAACTTTAAGAGAAGTGAAAATTGGTATGTGTTAGCTTAAGTAACTGCACTTGAGGCAAGTGAATTGAAACAACCAAGACATATTATCAAACACTTAAGGAGCTTTTAGTTTCCTTTCATATAAATGTATCTTTCATATAAACTTGTGGAGACCATTTAAGCACAATCACGCGAAGTCTCAACTAATATAAAACTCGCAGCTAAAACGCCCACATTACATACAAAAGGTGGGAGTTTGTTTTGATTCTATAAATTAAGAAACTGACGAAGACAAATTCCAAGCTTACCAACGTAGAGCAGAAACATTGCAGCATTTCTAATAACAATTAGGGAATCACAAAGCATAATATAACATACCTAATAGATTGCTGATCAACTATCTTGAGAAGGAGAGAAATGTAAGTTGAAATCACATTATATATTGGTCCTGGAGAAATGTTAATATCCAGAGAAACGTAAAATTAAATTGATAAGAGACTCTACATCTTCATGAACGGTGATGAAGGATTCATGCGGGAGCTGCCATGGGAAACGAATTTCGAAACCAAAAAAGAAATTAATAGATGAATGGAAAAAAATTAAAAGCTAGAGTAGATGAAGTGCCGAAACAACATATACGGAGCAATGGATAAACGATATACCTGTTGAGTTGACGGTGCGTAAACATATCTAACACCGTCTTGACGGTTAGGCCATAAACTGGAAGGCTGATACTCTAATAGCATATGGTACTACGACTTAAAGCTTAATTATCAAGAAGAAATAAGCATTTAATAATAGAAGTGACCTTTATAAGATAGGTTAAGATAATTAAACTTTCACTTGTTCATGATATAAATCACACAGAAACTGCCAACTTAACCACATTCACTACATTTTAGTGTTCTCATTCAAAATACTTCCATTTTCTTCTCATAAATTAAATACTCACAACAACAAATCCTCCTTGTTCTACGTGATTCTCAATTCATCCACTATTTTGGCATTTTCGCAATTACTATTTACATCATCATAAACAATTACTCTTTCTTCCAAAATGTAATACAATTACTTGTTTATGCCATAAATCAAATAACAACTTCGAATAATGCCACAAATCAAACAACAAGTACATTCAAACAACAATAACAACAACTAATGCCATTGTTTTCTTTAAAATACTCGCATTATTCATTTTACTGCCATTTGTGATTTTCGATTACATTCAGTAACATGCATGGCGAAAAAACTTACCAGGTTTGGATTCATCTGACCGCTTGATCTTCTCGTGCTCTGGTTTTGAAAATCATCTTCTTCCATCTTAACTCCATTTCTCCTTCGTTCTTCTTCGTTTTTCCGCCAAAAAAATGGAGAGTTGAAACGCTTCGAACACGTCCAGACGGGAGTTGTTTAGGAAGATTTGCTCTTGGATTTGCTCGATATGCGCCGGAAAACATGATTCTATAATAAATGCTCTAACCGTTGCTATATTTTCGGCTCTCAACTCCCGATACTTTCCTTCGCGCTTCAAATCCATCACGCGTGCGCAACTTTTAATTTGGAGGTTAAAATTGAAAACTTACCTTCATTTGAGTCATACGGATGACAAATTTGTTTTTAGGTCCTATTTATGCAAATGGCAAGACTTTTAGTCCTATTTCAAAAATCAGCTCTTGATTTTTCAGTGTGAGTTTGATGCATTATTTTGATTGTAGTTTATTTTAATACTCCCTCCGATGTTTAAAATTTGGCCAAGTTTAACCGACATAAAGATTAATAAAGTAAAAATCGTGTGGTTGAGATTTGTGAAAAATAAATTGAATTAAGTGTAGTAATATTTTTTTTCAAAATTAGTGAGATTAATAATTTTTTTACTTTAGAAAGAAGGAGTATATAAGTAAGTGTTTTTCAAAAAAAAAAAAAAAGTCTGCCGGCCCATAAAAGTTTGAGCCTCTCTGCCATCTCCTCTATTACGTCTCACAGTGAATACGGACTGGTCAGATCTCTCGTATTGCAACTTAGTTCTTTATTGGTTTGATTCGTCTCATCGCTGATGGCTGTTCTTGCTCTTCCCTTGTTGACTTCAATTATCAGACCTCTTAATTGCCGCCTCTCTTTTTTCATCACCGCCGTGCCCCGCGAACAGGCCATACTTCGCCGGCGCTTTTTCTCCCGGATCCACAGTATCTCCGCTTTGAACACCCATTCAGCGTGCCATGACTACGACTCTGGCCCCAATTCTGAAAATCGAAATAAGCTACCGGCCCCCACTTTTCAACAAGCAATCCAGCGCCTCCAGGTTTGAATGCCGCTAGACCTCTGCTTTTTTGCTCGGTATTCCTTTTATCGGATCCTCAGAGACATGTTATTGTTTGATTTCCCAGCAAATTCAGATTTTGATTTAGAACTTTATCTAGAAGGGCATCAAGAATTCTAAGAGTAGATTTTTATTAACCGTGGCATAATATGATGTGGAAGACAATGTCTATGAACATTTTCTAATTTGCATTTTATATAAGTAACTTATAAATAATAGTAACTTACACAAAGGTGAAAGCTTTTTTTGGTAAAAGGATTAACAGAAAGGGTTATCTAAACTATGTAAAATATGTCATTTGTTAGGTTGTTTGATTTACAAAGCTTTAGCTTATGCAAGATTGAACCTTTTACCTTGAACAACATGAGGTTTTACTAGATGGAAACCCAAAACGATATCTGAAATATGTCATTATTTAGTTTGTTTGATCTATAGAGCTTTAGCTTTTGCAAGATTGAACCCTTTCACCTTGATTAGGCTAAGAAATGAGACATAGGTGAATAAAAGGATGATTGTCAGGTAATAAACACTTAATGGAAATATAATTGGCTTGATATCCTTTCCCTCTACATTAATAATTAGATATTCAAACCTGGTAAGAAATAAGAAGAGATCCTAATTTACAGTAAAGAAATAAATGTCCTATTTTACATAGTAAACCCAATGTACATAAACCTCACATCTTAAGGTTACTTTTGGGTGATTATACCCATTACACATGTTATTAAACCCCGACCCGTTTGAGGGTTATTTAGGCCCATATTTCCAACACTTCAGTAGTACAGTCCAAATAGGGTGGAGATGTGTTGTCTACCTGGTTTGCTCCTCGTGTTAGGTAAATCTTATCTTTTTAGGATCTTTCGGTGGGTTATGCCCACTAACATTCCACAAGAGTAGAATACAAGAATCCTAATGTAGATACAGTAAGGTATGGAAGTTACGCAGGCGTGACATTGATGGCACCTAGAAGGCACACAGTTTCTTCTTGAAAAATTAATTAGATATCATATGATACTTGTGAAAGTATATTAGAATATACTTTAGAATATGCTTTAGAATATATTAGGAGTATACCATATATAGTATTATTGTATAACATCTTTTATAGGAATATTCTATCTTTGTAATCTATATTTATAGGGCCTTACCCTTCAATGAAATATATAGAAAATCCTTCTCCTATCCATGTTCAATATCATTCTAGTTTATACTTTAACAATACTTAACCATCCCACAGTTAATGGAACCATTTAATCTTCAAGATATATATTGGTTATTGATGTATCTTCGAGAACTACACTATATTAGTTATAACCATGATGACAATCTACTTATGATAAAAAGTGAAATCTAGTCCAATTAAAGAGCACTAGTCACCCATGATAAAATATATTTTGCTATCTAATTTTATAAATCCTTATGAATGAAAATCTGAGAAACATGTCCCACATCAGTTATCACATTAATCAAAATTTTCTGGAGAAATCTATAACAGTTATAGATTTAGAAAGAATGTAACCAAGAATTGTTTTTTGGAAGAGGACACATTTTTCTGGAAGTAGGTTATAGTTTTTGGTGTCCGGAGTTCTGGCTGGCAGCAGAAAATCAGTACTTTTCTGTTTGGTTAATGTTCCAGAAAACGGTCAACTGTGTAGCTCGGAAACTCTCGGGAAAAAGTACATTTTTGTTTTGGGAACTCTACGAAACTCTCCAAACAGTAGTTTTTTATTGAAAGACTGACGTTTCCTGTTTCCCCATGTTTCCCACGTTTCTGTGCAACAAATAAACAAGAAGTTTTTCCTTTCAAATGAATTTAACCTTGGAGTGGTACAATATCTGCCTTTGCTCAACCTTGCAGTCATTTTTTAACAGATGGATGAACATCCAGCCTTGGCATTAAGCTTCCCTCTCTTCATTCACGACTTTTGGCCTCAGTTTCTCTATTTCTAATACCTGTACCTATTTTTTTTTTTAAATTTCAAGGAGTATTGGGCTTCTGTAGGATGTGTTGTGATGCAATGCAGCAATACTGAGGTAATCACAGGTAGCATATTCTGTTGCACACTTGCATGCAAGGTTTATGATAAAGCTTGGACCCATACCTAGGTATGCATGATTTCATGTCATGAACGGCTTGAGCTTCTGACTTGTGGGGGCTCTATTTTTTTTAAATAGGTTGGAGCAGGGACAATGAATCCTCTGACATTTTTAAGGGTTCTAGGCCCGGAACCATGGAATGTTGCGTAAGCTTTCACTAACATTTCTAATCACATTTTTACAGTTTTAGAATAATATAGAGATACATCTATTACTGTGACAGGTACCCCACATGCAAAAAGATAAATGTATTTTTCATGTCAATCTAAAATATTTGAAAGTTCAAGTTAAAGCTTGTATTTCTCAACAGAGTTTCATTTTCAAAATTTTCTTCAACTCTACTTGACACATCAGACACTATGGAACAGACACATCTACACTGTGTTATGAAGTTTTGGTTCTCTGTCATAATAATATCTTCTTCATCACTTCCAGTCTCTTTGGCACAATGTAAATATGGAGGTATTGATCCAGTTTTTTGTGATGGCAGTTACGTGGAACCTAGTATTCGGCCAGATGATAGCCGTTATGGTGAGAATCCGAATAGGCTTCAAAGGCATACTCAATTCCAGGTTATTAGCAGAGTATCTATTGAGTATACTCCTTAACTTTTGCTGTCTGACAAAAATATCTATCCACACAATCTTTTTAAATTTTAAATAACCTTGTTTGAATTCCGACTAGGTTATATTGAAGCCTGATCCTGGAAACTCGCAGGACCTTTTCATCCGGAGTTTGTCAGCCCTAGGTTATGATGCAACATACCATTGAGTTTGAGTTTATTGGGTTATATAACTTTTATCACCTTTTAAAGCTGTTAATGTTGGATTTCCTCCCTGTCATTTTTGTTATTTAAGCTCTCTTCTGACCCTGCACACTACTTTCTGGCATAGTTTTGAATTGCTCTGATGTTTCATCATTAGGAATAAATATTAATGAGCACGACATTCGCTTTGTTGAGGACAACTGGGAGAGCCCAGTAAGTTAATCTCTTCCACTTCAGCCATGTGTGGTGATGTGTGCTTGGACGAATGCTAAGTATAGATATACATTTCATCATTTTTATCCAAGCACGAGTATACCCGTTTTCCTTTTTAGTATATGGTGTACAATTTGAGGCCTTATTCTTATTTCAGATTCACCGGTTTTCAATTGTTTTGCTTATTCCCGATGTTTGAGTTGAATGCAATTTAATTACCACATTATTGTATTTTGGTAAATTGCAGAATGTTAATATTAATGATTGGTGGTCTTCTGTTTATGAATTGATGTACTAGTAGGTGCTTGGTGCCTGGGGTTTGGGTTGGGAAGTTTGGATGGATGGGATGGAAATTACCCAATTCACCTACTTTCAGCAGGTACTTCTATTAATTTAATTTTACTTTAAAAATAGATGTCTGGATAATGTATTTGCTAATTAGAAGTTTCTGTTTCTAAATTGCAACACCTCTCTTGGTCAGTCAATTCCCAATTTTCTTTCAGAAAACTTCTCTATTTTTTCAGAAGCATCTTAAAGCTTAATGGTTAACTCGTTTTCTTATCAATTGTATGTATTAAAGAAATTGCCCCAAATAGGAGTAAAAAATGTTTTTGAATCCCAAAGTAGGACTAATAGTTTTTTATTCCCTAAATAGGATCACTTACTGCCATGTTTTGGCATTACCAGGCTTTAAACATGGCAATATTTTACAAGATTGGCAGTAATTACTCCTATTTAGGGAATTAAAACATAATACTTCTATTTTGGAATTCCAAAATGTTTTTACTTCTTTTTTGGAAATTTTCCCCAAGAGTATTATAACAACCTGTGAATCTCAGGCTGGAAGTATTCACTTGGAGCCAATATCTATTGAAATTACCTATGGCCTTGAGCGTATCCTAATGTCACTTCAGGTTCGTCAAATGTTCTTCTTGTTCTTTTTTACTCTAGGTCGCTCTCACGGGCATTCAACCTAAACTGTCCATACATGTTGCCAGGGAGTTGATCATTTCAAAAATATTCAGTATGCTGATGGGATAACATATGGAGAGCTTTTCCTGGAAAATGAGTAAATAATATTATAGCGGTGGTTTATTAATAAAATCTTTTGTGTCCTAATTGCAAGCTGATTGGTCTTTTTAGTCTAGATTCCATGTTTTTGTGCTCTCTCTGTAGCCAAATAATTGTCATTGGGATACATATACTCTTTTCGTCCCATTATTTTGGTCTCGTTTTTATTTTCTCTGTCTGTCTTAATTTTCTTCACGTGTCCTTTTATGGAAAGATTAATGTGATTGATAGTGTTGGTCTATCTTTAAAATAAATTTTAGCCACCCAATACGTTTTCTTAAAAAGAGTGCCAATTCAAAGTTGGAAGAAAATTTTGGGATAAATGGAATTCATTTTTAGTTATTGGATCCAAGTGTTACATGTAGAAGAATCCAGAAAACATTAATTTATAATATTCTCTGTTATTACAATTTCAGTTTTAACTGTAACATATCTTTGTAATTAGTATTATAATTATCATTATAGGCTCCCAATGATTGTATAAACACCAATACATGCCTGAGAATAAAGTATGCAATTCAGTCTACAATTCTCTTTTCCTCTAAACTCTACTATGGTATCAGAGCCGTAAGAGCTCTCACCAGCCCCTCTACCCATGGCTAACGAAGAAAATACAGCCAGACAGAGAATCTCCAGGAACAAGGAGACCTCGAAAATCCACTTGCTAAAACCTTGCCTACCTCTTCCAACAACCCTTTGACTCCTGATGGACTCATAATGCTTAACCCCAGTCAATTCCCAGAAAAATTAGACGGTTCTAATTACCTAGTTTGGCGTGACCAGGTTCTTGACCTCCTGTTTGGGTCAGATCTAAGTCAGTATATCGAGGAGGGGAGTACACTGCCGCCAGAAAGTGATGCAATCGGCCGTCTCAGATGGAACCGACAGGACAGACTTCTTCGACACGCCCTAGTCTCCTCCCTTAGCTCCGCTTGCAAAGTGCAAACCACTAATTGGCTCTGCACGCACTTCTTCTGATGTCTGGAAGACACTTGAGCTGCTCTATGAGACCCGGTCACCTTCCGCAATTCGAAACCTCAAAGACCAGTTCCGACACATGCTGCAGGGAGAGCAGAGGTCTTACGATTGCACAAGTTGGAAATATGAATATTCATTCTCTTTCCTTACCTAACACTCTTTTTGTTCCTTCAATTCATACTAATTTAATTTCAGTGTAGAGATTACACTGGCAGGGAGATCCACCAGTGGGGGAGTACCTTCACAAACTCCGGACCCTAGCTGATGAACTGGCGCTGGTAGGATGACCGTTGGACGATGATGATTTTCTCATTCAGGCTCTGAAAGGACTCCAGCCAGAGTTTGAATCAATCGCAAACTCCATTCAGACTTCAGGCGACACCCGATTCGGAGCCATCCATACGCTGCTCGTAGGGCTCGAAGACAAGCTTCGACGGAAGGAGACGCGGAACTCCAGTCCAGTGTTGACCACTAATTCGGCTGTTGCGGAGACAGGAGGTCCTCTTGCGTTGGTTGTTCGAAGGAAGATTGGTAGTCCAAGAGGTGATCAGCCCCAAAACCCTTCTATATTGGGCCCAGAACCAGCCCCACAATTTCAGAGACAATTTAACAACAGGAGTTATAATCGGAACCAAGGCCCAATAATTTCCACAACCCAAACCGACGTGGAAATAATAATCCCGGAGGTAATAATATGGGAGGCAGAAACAATTTCAGGAGCAATAATAATTCTAGATGTACAATTATATGCCAAATTTGTGGCAAACCGAATCATCTCACTCTTAACTGTTGGCACCGATTTGAACAACAAAATTACCCTCCTAAAGACAATACTGTGGTGACCAATAGAAATGGATGGCTGCTTGACTCTGGAGCCTCGAATCATGTCACCAATAATCTCAATAACCTCACTCTGGCATCAGATTATACCGGCACAGACTCCCTCGTTATTGGTAACGGTAAAGGTCTTACGATTGCACAAGTTGGAAATATGAATATTCATTCTCTTTCCTTACCTAACACTCTTTTTGTTCCTTCAATTCATACTAATTTAATTTCTGTTGCCAAACTATGTCGTGATAATGATGTGCTAATTGAATTTCACCCCTCTTTATGTTTTGTAAAGGACTGGCGAACGGGAGCAATTTTGTTACGGGGTATGAATAATGGGGATGTCTGCCGGATGTACCGATTCCTTCATCTCCATGTGCTAATGTTACTTCAAAATATTCTCTTAATAAATGACATTGCCGTTTAGGTCACCCTGCTCTTCCTATAACTCAAAAAGTTATTTCTTCATTTGGTGTTTCATTTAAAAATGTTACTAAGGACATCTCTTTATGCACTTCATGTGCAAGTAATAAAAGTCACAAGTTACCTTTTGCTAAATCTTCACTTTCAAGTTCCGGCCCTCTTGACCTAATTTTTACGGATGTTTGGGGTCCTTCTCGCATTACTTTTGTAGATGGTTTTCGTTACTATGTTATTTTTGTTGATCACTGTACAAAATACATTTGGTTTTATCTCATCAACCATAAGTCTGAAGTAACATCAATTTTTTAACAATTTAAGAAAATTGTAGAAAACTTTTTTCAAAAAAATATTAAAATGGTTTACTCTGATGGGGGAGGTGAGCATGTCACCCTAGGGAAATTCCTAAATTCCTGTGGTATTTCTCATTTATTAACCCCTCCCTATACTCCGGAACATAATGGTTTCACATTACTTTTGTAGATGATTTTCGTTACTATGTTATTTTTGTTGATCACGGTACAAAATACATTTGGTTTATCTCATCAACCATAAGTCTGAAGTAACATCAATTTTTTAACAATTTAAGAAAATTGTAGAAAACTTTTTTCAAAAAAATATTAAAATGGTTTACTCTGATGGGGGAGGTGAGCATGTCACCCTAGGGAAATTCCTAAATTCCTGTGGTATTTCTCATTTATTAACCCCTCCCTATACTCCGGAACATAATGGTTTCGCTGAACGACTACATCGTCATATTGTTGAAAAAGGGATCACTTTACTTCATCATGCATCCATGCCATTTAAATATTGGTCCTATGCTTTTCAAACTGCAATGTATCTCATTAATAGACAACCTGCAACATCTCTCAATTTCTGCACTCCATTTGAAAAGCTTTTTAAAAAACCACCTCATTACACAAAACTTGCTATTTTTAAGTGTCAATGCTTTCTGTGGTTGCGTCCTTACACAACCCACAAATTAGAACCTCGATCCAAACCATGTATTTTTCTAGGATATTGTGATCAGCAGAGTGCATAACGATGTCTTGACCCAACTACCCATTGTATTTTTATTAGCAGGCATGTAATATTAACTGAGTCTGTTTTTCCACTCTCAGACCGCAACACCTGTTACTAATCTCTCCTCGGAGATTGATAACTGGCTTCAACCACCTATTTCTTATCTTCCTCTTTGAGGTACACCAGCGGCAAAGGCATCTCATATTTCTCATAGCGCGACTCACCAAAGCACTCCCGATAGTTCAATCTTTACCTCTAATACATCGCCCCTACCCGCCCACCTCCACCTGCTATCATCACCTATCAACGTTGGCCTAAGCAAAAACCATCTACCCCACTGTTACCTCAAACTTCACTTAATGAACCACCCATTATCACCCTGACCAATTCCCCTCCCAAACGTACTCATCCAATGACCCTTCGTCCTCGTAATCAAGCTAATCTCATCACTCAATCCGCCTTACCTCATCATATTATTCCTACTTGTGCTTCCCAGGCTTTACAGGTACCAGAATGGAAGGATGCTATGTCAGAAGAATTTGAAGCCTTGGTTAAACAGGGAACTTGTGATCTTGTTCCATCTTGTCCTGGTCAAAATGCTTTTGTTTGCAAATGGGTTTATACTGTGAAGTACAAGCCGGATGGTTCCTTGGATCGTTTCAAAGCTCGGTTGGTTGCTAAGGGCTTTCATCAGCGCCCATGAGTTGATTATTCTGAAACTTTCAGCCCAGTAATCAAACCGGTCACTATTCAGGTTGTCTTGACTATTGCCCTTTCTCATAGTTGGCAGATCAATCAACTTGATGTTAATAATGCCTTTTTGCATGGGACTCTTCACGAGGAAGTATACATGAAACAACCTCCTGGTTTCAATGATGGTTCCGGGTCTGTTTGTCATCTTTGTAAATCTATCTATGGTCTCAAACAAGCACCTCGGGTGTGGTATCAATCTTTGAGTGGGTTTCTTCTTTCCCTTGGATTTCATCAATCTGTGTCGGATGCGAGTCTCTTCATACTCTCTTCACATCAATCTTATATCTATGTGTTGGTGTATGTGGATGATATTATTGTTACTGGTTCCACTCATACTTTGGTTCGTCGGACTTTTGATTCGTTAGCACAAAAATTCTCTATTAAGGATTTGGGATCCTTACATTATTTTCTAGGCATTCAGACCACTCCGACGCAGGATAGACTCTTTCTTGACCAACACAAATACATTACCGATTTATTGCATATGTTGAAAATGGATGAAGCTAAACCGGTATCCACACCATTGGCTTCCTCGACATCCTTAACCTTGTTTGATAGTTCGGGATCTTGCGATGTGACTCTCTATCGTCAGGTCAATGGATCACTTCAATATTTGAGTCTCACAAGACCAGATGTTGCCTTTGTTGTCAACAAACTTGCTCAATTTATGCACAAACCGACGGCTACTCATTGGCAGCATATCAAACGCCTATTTCGGTACCTTCAAGGCACTAGTCCTTGAGGTCTCTATCTCCGTCGCAGTTCATCTTTTTCTCTACGTGCTTATGCCGATGCAGACTGGCAGGGAATCCCGTTGACCGCTCCTCAACTAGCGCATATGCCATTTTTCTTGGTGAATCACTTGTTTCCTGGAAGTCCATTAAACAATGAACCATTGCTAAATCATCTACAGAAGCGGAGTATCGGGCTCTCTCTACTGCCGCATCAGAGATTCTTTGGATCGAGTCTCTTCTTCATGAACTCCGTCATCCGCCTCCCTCTTCCCCGCTCCTACTTTGTGATAACAAAGGCGCTACAACTTCTTCAGCAAATCCGGTTTTTCATTCTAGGTCCTAGGATGAAACATGTTGCCATTGATTTTCATTTTGTCCGACAACGTGTGCAACGTGGGCTTCTTCGTGTTCTTCACATCTCCTCTCATGATCAGTTAAAGCTGATGCTCTTACCAAACCACTCTCAAGGCAACGTTTTACCCTACTTAGAGACAAGCTCAGGATTCTCGGGAGTGACAGAATACCTGGCTTGCAGGCATGGTTTTCAAAGGCGTTTAGCCTTTACGCACCAGAGGCGCAAATGCGCAAATGCGTTCTGTTAACGCATGTAAGGCTTAAGCTTTCACTTTCCGGAACAAGGCTTACGCCCTTTGTTGACGAGGCGGTGCATCTGCCGTAAATGCGCAGGGCGTTCAAGAGGCGTACGCCTCTTTTTTGACGCAACTTTGGGCTTTTTTTTTAATTAGTGGGGGCCCTGGATTTATTTTTTACATCCTAAAATACAAATTACCTGGATCGTTTATCACTTAGCCACAGCCCTAGGTCCTCCTGTCTTCCCAATTCCAATCGCCGGTCCACTTAATACTACGATAGCAACGAACAAGAAACGGGAAGTTGAAGACGAGCTGCGCAGGACCTCAGCGGAGTCAGCGGCTCAGCCTTCTAAATACTAATTTATTTGTTAAAAAATTAATACTACGTACTTTAGTAGTTTACTTCACTCAAGCTTTTATCAGTTTTATGTTCTTGTCTTAGAATTTTAATGTTTTATGTTCTTTAAATTTTGACTTTGGTATTTCAGTTTTAAGTTATTTTGAGTTGAATATTTTAGGAGTAGTTATTTTCTTTTTACTTAGTGATTTTGTTTAGCTACACTATTGTTATGAATTATCTATACTTTCCAATATGCCATATGTTTGTAGCAACACTTAACCAATTAAATTTTGGGGCTTACGCCTCGTTACGCCTCAAGGCTTACGCCTCGGAAGGCTACCCCCTTACGCCTTGAGGCCCGATTTCGCCTTTCAAAACCTTGCTTGCGGGGGTGTGTAGAAGAATCCAGAAAACATTAATTTATAATATTCTCAATTCTTACAATTTCAGTTTTAACCGTTACATATCTTTGTAATTAGTATTATAATTATTATTATAGGCTCCCAATGATTGTATAAATACCAATACATGCCTGGGAATAAAGTATGCAATTCAGTCTACAATTCTCTTTTCCTCTAAACTCTATTATACATATGTTTTAGAAAAATAAATTAAACTATCCTACTCTGGTGGCATTTTGCAGCTCACGGAAGATGGTACCTCATGGTTGATAAGATCATTTTTTCATTACACAGTGACCATAACGGACTAATATTAACCACAACATTGATCAAACTAATTCATCTGTTCAATGCATTATTCAACTGTCATTTTTCTTCGATTGGATATGCGTTATATGGGGTATTCATAGCCTTTTCTAAACCTCCTAGGCCCCTCTCTCTAAGCATCGATTTTTTTTAATTTAATTTCATGCTAAACTGAAGGGGAGCCTTGGCGCACCGATTAAGGTGTTGCTGTGTGACCGAGAGGTCACAAGTTCAAGTCTTGGGAGCAACCTCTTGTCAAAAATTTGACAGGCTTGCTCTTATACACCCTTGTGGTGGGATCCTTTCTCGGACCATCGCCTTGCGGGATGCCTTCATGCACTGGGCTGCCTTTTTTATAGTTTCAAGCTAAACTACACTTGTAGCAAATTTGTAGTTTGGTCTCTTTACAGGATGTTTAATCATGAAATGTTTCCAATTCATTTTGCTATGTTTGATTAGAATTTGCATGTCCCATTTCCATGCACTATGCATATACTTCAACTTCTAATGACCTTTTTATTTTGATTTTATGTTTATAACTTTTGGTTTGTCATTCTAATAACTTTATTTGGAACAACTTATTAATGCAATTACTCCATTTAATCCGTTTCTTGCATTTTGTTTCTTTGAACTTCAGGAAGGAAATGAGCGCATACTATCTGAAACATGCTACTGTTGATCATATGAAAACACATTTTGATTTGTTCGAAGCTGAAGCTCTACGTATGCTTGATTTAGGCCTAGCGTTACCTGCGTATGTGTTTATACCGTAAACCTTTTATAAAATAGGGTCAGGGACTGAGGTCATATCACATAGTATACTACTATACTGTGGATCACAATATTCACGAAGTACCAGTGTAGTTAACCTTTCTCTATGGGTTTACTAGGTATGATCAAGTTTTGAAGACATCCCATGTTTTTAATATACTAGACTCTAGAGGCTTTGTTGGAGTGACAGAACGCGTTCGTTATTTTGGTAGGATGCGTAGGTAAACACATTTTTGGAGCTCTTTGATATTGTGTAAAAACTTGCTCGCAGGATTTATATATATTCTATTATTCGCATATTGCCATTGTATTTCATGATGTAAATATTATATGCTCTCTTCTATGGAGACACAGGATATAAGTTGAAAAACCATAACAGTTGATTCAATATTTGAAGATAATATCATGTGTACACTTATCGTTTCTTCAGTTTAGCTCGTCATTGCGCACAACTCTGGCTAAAGTCAAGGGATAGTCTTGGCTACCCACTTGGTGTGATATCTCACCCTGACCATCCTGTTATTACAAGAGATACGCTGAAGGGAGCAGCTGGACAGGTCTGCCTTTGACTTCATTGTCATCTTATGGTATTTCCTAATAAATACATGTGCTATAAAAAGTAGAATCACATACAAGAATATATAAATTAATAATCGTGTCATTTGACTTTTAGCAAATCACACAACACATAAATCATCCAGATTCTAGAACACACATATATTTAATTTCAGTTAAATAAATTGCAAAAACAAAGCCAAAGACAAAAAAGAAAGATGGAAGAAATAGAGTAGCAGACTTGAGTCGATAGAAAGCAGAAATAAAAGAAGTGAAGAACACCTAATGAGTACAACTTTAGACGAGAGAACTACATAAGCAAAGCATGCATTATTGTAGGGGATAGAAGTCAAAGGCCAGAAGCTAGCTACTAAAAATGAGGAGAGGGCAATAAGAACACGAGAAGGGAATACGGGTGTGAGGCAGGTCAAACTCACTGAAGCCAAATAATTGTCTTGGGATAAAATCTATTCTTTTCATACCATAATTTTTATCTCGTTTTTATTTTTGGGCTGTCTTAATTTTTCTCTTGTGCCCTTTTATAGAAAGATTAATGTGATTGATATATGTTAAGACTCGGGGTTCCATCCTAAAAGAGGAACCTGATAAGAGAAGTAGTCCAAGATTTTATATAGCGTTTTATTTTTTGGGTAATTTGAGTTTGCACCCCATTTTATTGTCCAAATTGGACTTTGCACCCCGTTCTTAAAAAACTTTGTATTTGCACTCCAACTCCGTATGAGAAGACAAAAATGCCCTCGATCAGGAATATGTTGAAGGCCAACAGAATTGTTAATGGAGGGGCATTTTGTCTTTTCATATGGGGTTGGGGGGGGGGTGCAAATACAAATTTGTTGGTGCGAGATACATACTTCAACAATATTGTTGGTCTCTTTTTAAAATAAAACTCAACCATACAATATGTTTCTTTAAAAAGTGTCGATTAAAGTGGGAAGAAAATTTTGGGACAAAGGGAATTCATTTTTAGTTATTGGATCCAAGTATTACTTAAGTCTGAAAAATAAAATAATATAAACTATTATACTCTGATGGCATTTTGTAGCTCATAGAGATGATACGTCATGGCTATAAACTATAATCTATCCTCACACTCTATGTGAAATATATTAGAATGAATGTAAGAATACGGTTTGGAATATTTAGGAATATACTTTAGGATATTATTATGCTATAGAATCTTATAAGAATATTCTAACTTGTAATATATATTTATAGGAACTTCAACCCTTCAATAAGCACACAAAAAATCTTTCCTCCTCTCTTCAATACTACAAATTCTATGCTTGAATACAGGAAAATGAGGAACTAAAACTAAAACTACAAATCTTTACCTCCTCTCTTCAATTCTATGCTCCTACTTGAGGGGGAGTGTGAAATATATTAGAATGAATGTAGGAATATGCTTCGGAATATTTAGGAATATACTTTATGATATTATTATGCTATAGAATCTTATAAGAATATTCTATCATGTAATATATATTTACAGGGACTTTAACCCTTCAATACAGAAAATCTTTCCTCCTCTCTTCAATACTACATGTTATTCTAGTTTATATTTCAACACTCTGTACTCAAACTGCCTCCAAATTTGTAGTTGCTCTTCCCAAATATTCTTGACCGAGTCCTCATTTTGAAATATATTAGAATGAATGTAGGAATATGCTTCGGAATATTTAGGAATATACTTTAGGATATTATTATGCTATAGAATCTTATAAGAATATTCTATCTTGTAATATATATTTACAGGGACTAACCCATCAATACAGAATATCTTTCCTCCTCTCTTCAATACTACATGTTATTCTAGTTTATATTTCAACACTGTACTCAAACTGCCTCCAAATTTGTAGTTGCTCTCCCCAAATATTCTTGACCGAGTCCTCATTTTGTGAAAGGTCAATGGACGTCTTAGTTGCATCCCCGTCCCCTTGCCAAATCTGGCATCACCAAACATCAGCAAAATGCAATAACCATGCTTCCTGGATTGGAATTACACTTTATAGGTCTATATTTGTTGCAGCTTTGACAAATCTAAGTTACATATTCAAGTGCCAACAACAACCAAGTCATAGTCCCAAGTCAGTGGGCCGGCTACATGATTAAGTACTGTTGATATTCCTCACAAGAACTCTCATTTCCACCGTTTTCTTTTATGTATCATCACTCATTAAAACCAACACTTTTGTTCCTTGCCATTTTATCCAAAAAATTAAAGTCGAACACTAATTCCAATGTCTTTCCTATACTTGTCATATTTGATGTCTCGTTTTTTATGCCTGCAGCATTTCAAGACTCCACCCTTTGTACACTTGCTTCTTACCAATCTTACGGTTTACATGTGACTGACATGCCTGAACCGCCCCCTTACTTTATCTTCAATAACCGCAACAGTGCTACGCCTAGTCTCGCATAAAACTTCTCATTATGTACTCTATCTTGTATAGTCTTTTGATACATTCATTTAATATATGCATTCCCACCACACTCATCTTTCTTAATAAATATTTCTTAGTAGCCCACATTTTTGGTCCATTCAATAAAGCCGGTCTTATGGCAATCTTATAAATTTATCCTTGAATCGTAATGGTACATTATGATAATATGATGTTTTTTTCACTCCCCTCCACTTTACCAAAAATATGCACAAAAAGAGAACCTTTTGTGCATAAGTGAAAATGAAAGTTTGCCATGAGACCGAGAACAGTTCTGTTTTTGGTGAGTGAAAATAGGACACAATTTTTCATATTTTACATCTCATATAGCCGATTGCTTAATGCTTAATGAAAGGAAAAATTAAACAAATTCTTCTTGGGAAAGTTCTCAGAATACGATTAAACAGGTTTTGGAATTCCAAAATAGAACTGATATGTTTTTCTTATAAAATAGGATTAACATGGAAGTATTTACTGCCATTGTGGAGCCATTACTGCAAAAATTGTTGCAGTACTAGACATTAACATGACAATATTTATTGCCATTAATGACAATATTTTTCGATCATGACAGTAACGAGTAACGACCCCTATTTTAGGCAGAAAAACACAGCAGACTTATTTTGGAATCCCAAAACTTGTTTACTCCTATTTAGGAAAATTTCTCATTCTTCTCACCTCCTTGGCTCCTGGATAAGACATGTAAGAGTCATGAAATCCTATTTAATGAACAGCATTAACAACATCCAAACCTTAGTCCCAAAAGAGTTTGGGGTCAGTTAAGATGACCAAGCTAAGATGACCATCATACTGCAATCAGAGGCAACACTTCTCCTTATATATCAATGTGTGTTATATGTATTTGAACACCAGGATAAACCCTTTTTTCAAAGCTGAAAGTAAACAATCTCTATTGTTTCAGTGAGAACTTAGGTGTGACTGTATATTTTGTTGGTATACCATAGTACCATCCAATGTTTTCGAGTGTAATATACCATATGATTGCAATAAAACATATCTCCGTGGGCAGCCCATAGCTCCGTGGGCCCAAGCCCGTTCCCGCCTCACGCTCTTCCTGCTCTCTATCAGATTGCTTTATGGTTTGATCTTTAAAAAAATCTTATTAGTTGAGACGGGAGTGTACAAGGGAATCATATTTACAAATTGGCTCCTGTAAAGAGAATATTACCGAGCCGTGTAGAAATAGTGAGGCTAGACAAATTTCTATTTATGCACATAGTTGCTTGCTTTACATCATGTTATTGTTTCTACCTTTAAGTGCACCTCCATTATTTTCCATGTGTAGCTTGTTGATTTCTTCTATAACCACATTTTTGCTTTCTGTTATATTAATGTTACGATGCTTTTAATTTCAATTTTGTTGTCATGTAGGTGCCTGAAGAGACACGTTTGTTTGTACTTGAGATCGGGACAGAAGAGCTGCCCCATAATGATGTAGCTGATGCATGCGAGCAAGTATTTATCATTCCTTTTGCAGTGAATTTGTCTTCTTTTCATATTCACATATATTCTCTTTTGTTTCTTTTAACTTATATTCTTCTTTGCCATTTTTTGCTGTGTCATAAAACTTATTGTTTGTTCCCGAGACCAGTAGAGTTTGAATCGCTGGACCTATAAACTTTGTTTTCTTATTTTTTTATTCGCCTCTTCTTCCGGCCTATTTTACTTCTTTATAGATTTTGTTCTTATGCTATGTGGTTTCCATTGCAGCTCAAAGATTTAATTGTTAAGTTGTTGGACAAACTCAGATTGGCTCATGGAGAAGTGCAAACATATAGCACACCACGTAGACTTGTGGTACATTTTCTTCCCCTTTTTGTTCTTGGTAATTATAGAGTCTTTTTGGTAACATTGGAATTGGTTGAATCTACTGATACTGCTGAAATTATGTCTAAAGGGATGGAATTAAGATAAAAAATGTAAAATAAATTTTGTCAATAAAATAAAGAAAAAAATATATAGCAAAAGCTAAAGTAACCCCTTCACCAGATTTAGCCAAAAAATAACTCATGTCTTACTTATTTTGATTATAAAAAAATTGAGCGCGCAGAATCAAAATTTGTGTTTGGTAAAAAAGTTGGTTGCTAAGGCGTAAAAAATGTTACCAAACAGGCTCATAGAGACATAGAGTATTCTCACTTAGTTTATCTTGTATTAAAAGAATAAAGAATAGTTTCACTTTCTTGATTTTCATGCGAAAAAATCAGTACAGTTGGCATTTCCATAATCTAGACATGTAATTGTTGTTATATGTGAAGTTTTCCAAACAGTACTACCACATAGCTATCTATATTCAATAGAGCACAACAACATCCAAGCCTTAATCCCAAAAGAATTTGGGGTCGTCTAACATGTATCGATCTATGATATCGATGCCAAACAGAGAAAACAGACAAGAAAGGGGGAAAAAGAGGAAAACGGATAAAATAAAGATAAATAAATACTACCTCCGTTCTCTTTTACATGCAACATTAGACTTTTTACACTATTCACATATTCTACTTTGATTCTATTTTATTTATTTATGTATTATAAATTAAATATAAAAAAATGTTGTTAAATTCCTCTCATTTATAATTTTCTAAATCTATTTTTTTTAATTTTTTTACTAATAAAGATTGAAAGATATTAATGGTCAAACTTGTGCGTTGGCAAATGTAAAAAGTGGACTGTTGCAATTAAAAAAGAACGGAGGAAGTATAAGATAACAACAACATAAAAATATAAGAAAGATAACAGATAAAAAGATAAAAGAGCATAAAAAAGTTAGAAGATAAAAACAACATAAGAATATAAAAAGATACAGAAGATAAACGATAAAAGAAAATAGAGAGGAAAGGTAAAAAAGACATCAATCGTCCACACGGATGTGCGCCCTCCACTTTGCTCTCTCCAAAGCCATACTCTGATTCAACCCAAGAAGATGCATATTGGTTCTAATTCTTCTAGTCCAAGTCTGTTTGGGTCTTCCCCTCTCTCTTCTCTGCCTCTTCCTCCCACCCCTCAAGTTGTCTAACAGGTGCATCACTCGGTCTTAAAACTCTACTGGACCATACCTACAGACATATATGGCTGTGTGATAGGTACACAAAAATTTTGGAGTAGAAATATTGTTGATATTGTAGAGGAATACAAATGAGGCCAATTCAAGAAGGCCTCTATCTCTCCCATTCTCATCCAAACCCCAGCCCGCCCCTCTCCCTTTTCTATTCCTTCTATTTATTATTTTCCAATGAGGCTTCCCCTCAATGTAACTAATTACTTAGCCCAACCCACTTCCTTTTTACACCTTATTAAAATATTCAGTATTATTTCTATTAATTCTTTCGCCATAAGTCCAGGTCCCTATCATCACTCCATCTTTAACAACCACCTTGTCCTCATGGTGGGTGGTAGGAAACTTGCATAGTAATTTTCTTCATCATTGGGCCTCTCCCTTCCCAGTACTATAGTTTTCTTCTTTTTGGTACTCTCAATCTCTTTATCAACACAATGATCTTTTGTGCCAAGGTTTTTATCTCTTTCAATTCCCCATGTCTGATCTCTTACAGAATCTCCAATTGAGAGTACAAAGTCAACTTCATCATCACCGAGTGTTCCTCCCGTGTGAAACATCACGGCTGCCTTGCACAGTGGATTCCCAAGCGGCTAGAGTGTATACAGGATCAACTAGAATACCTGTCTTTCGGGCAATGATTTGACATTTCTTTACTTCACCTCTCAACACATTTCCAGCTTTTTTGGAGCAAGACATTTTACCTAGTGAACGATTCCATCACATCCTTTCCTCAAGAATTGATTAGGATTAGAAAAATTAAAAGTCAAACCAAATTCATATGTTAGACTTTCCTCCTTTTTTCTGAACCCCTCAACAGTTTCAGCTCGCATGACTACAGTTTCTTCTGAAGGGCGCCCTATGAAAAAACCTCCAAGTCCTAAACCAATAGGAGTTGTTCATGTGCCACCATCTACAATAAATCTTAAAGATTGATTACTTCCACATAGATGTTCCTGAGACAAGTAATCCATAAGGCACATTGCACCTAATATTCCGACAACATCCTCAACACCTTCATTAAAACTCGCCGAATCCTTGGTCAAACAAAGAGGCCTCCAAAATTTCACTTAGCAAGACTATTAATTCTTAATTGTAATGTGCGATACTATATTCAAAATCATTAGACTTAATTTTGGAGCTATTGGCTGATCCATTCGACTCAATAGATAAAACGGGAGACTCCAAATTGTCTTGTTCAACTTTACGGAACAAAATCTCTTGTCTTCCACCTCCTGCAGTTTCGAATCCTCCGGATTACCAGGTAGAGTTCCCGTAGGTTGAGTGATAGAGAGCAAGGAGAGCAGGGGGCTGTACGGAAGAGGAGGGCCAGAGACCCAAGCCTCTGTTAGTTTACTGCAGGCGGGAACGGGCCAGAGCCCACCTTCGTGGACTGGGGTTTTAGTTTTACTTATTATAAACTTTACATTATGTTTTTTAGTTTGGGTCTGTTATTAGTAGAGTATTAGTAGAGTTAACCTGGGCCTAATTAGGGTTTACTTAATTTGGGCTCGATTAGGTTTTCTGTTGGGTCTGTTACTAAAAGGGTATTTAAACCCTTGTTAGGATTCATTCGAGATCCGACTCCTGGATTGATGTTGCAATTGTCTTCGACTAAGTGTTCAATGTTGGCAGTGGAGTTCCTGGCGCTCCATTTTCAGAATCAACGTGGTCTAGGGTTCTGGAAGCAGATGAAACTTGCGCATGGTGAGAAACGGCTAGTGACGACGAACTGTGAGAGGCGTCCATCGATGACGAACGGTGGGGAGCGGCTAGTGACGGCGAACATGGTTGAAAGCACAGAAACCGGACATGGGCTGGGAAGAATTCATGCAAGCACTGGTGGCTTGGTTGTACTCCCAGTTCAAGGGTAGCCAGTTCGAACGATTGTCCGGTGTCAAACAGATGAGTACTTTGGAAGAATACAATACCTTATTTCAGTTATTTGTTCAACTAGCCAGCCAAGTTCCCTGGCTGTCTGATGATCATTACTTAGGGTATTTCATGAACGGGCTGAAAGGGCCGATTCGTGGATCTATACGGTTGCTGTCCTTTCATGATGGATGTCGGGAAAGCCAACCCTACAATACAGAATTGCGTTTGGGCAGTTTTTCGTGTCCAAGTGGGGGTAACAACACGACCATGCGTGGTGGCAGCATAAAGGGATCGAGTAGCAGCTTTCCTAAAGATATTGGGCAGCCCCCGGGGACAAATTCAGGGCTGTCCAGACAGTCTACTGCATGCTCTAGGTTCATTCGACTTCCGCCAAAGGTGTTAGAAGAATTGCAGGTAAAAGTATTATGTTTGAGGTGTAAGAAATCATTTACACCAGGGTATGACTGCCCCTTTAACCAGTTACGGGTAATGATAACTGAGGAGGATGAGGAGTTGGACCTCTAACAACATGATTATTGTGAAATAATTGGTCAGGGAAAGGGTCAGAAAGATGGGGGGTTCGGAAGGAGATGAGAGATATTTTCCCGTCTGTTCTATGGTTGGAATTTTCCCCTCATACTATTAGACTTCGAGGGGTGGTAGCGGGATGCATGATGACCGTTCTAATAGACAATGACATAAACCACAACTTTTATTTGTTCATCCTTGGTCTCTGTATTACGATTGCATCCGGAGAGTGTGTAGACAGCTTCCTATCGCATTGTCAGGGTGTGCTGTTGAGGCAGATTGCTATGTGTTTACCTTGGGCGGGGTTGTCATCATTTTGGGAGTAGTTTAGTTGGCCATGTTGGGAGAAGTACAGACAAATTGGGAAATATTGACTATGAATTTCGAGTGGGGTTGTAGTCGAGTTGAGTTAAAAGGTGACCCGGCGATCAATAACGAAAGGTGTGCCTTTGGGTGTCGCAAGGATGATGCTACTTGGATGAGTAAAGAAAGTTCTGTGAGCCAGTTTTCAAATTACAACTTTGAGGACAAGGTTATTTTGAGGGAAGATGGATTGATAGAGCACAAATGCTAAAGGTACCCCAAAATGTACCCAATTTTTACCCCCACCCCCTAATGTGTGGCCATAAATGGGGCAATTCATTTAAGTGGGGCACCATTTAAATGAATTGGTCCATTTAATGGCCACACATTAGGGGGTGGGGTAAAAATGGGATACATTTTGGGGTTACCTCTAGCAAAACTCTTGATAGAGAGCAGGGAGAGCAGAGGGCTGTACGAAAGAGGAGGGCCTGAGACCCAGGCCTATGTCGGTTTACTGCACGCAGGGACGGGCTTGAGCCCACGTTCGTGGGCTGGTTGCGGGCTGGTTGTGGGCTGGGATTTTAGTTTTACTTATTATAAACTTTACGTTTTGTTTTCTAGTTTGGGCCTGTTATTAGTAGAGTATTTAGTAGAGTTAATTTGGGCCTAATTAGGGTTTACTTAATTTGGGCTCAATTAGGCTTTCTGTTGGGTCTGTTATTAGAAGGGTATTTAAACCCCTTGTTAAGATACATTCTTGATCATCTGTTAATAAAATTGGATTTCAGCCGTTTTGCTCTGGGGAATGATTTCACCTGTTGATTATTTTGGGAAACAATTTATTCCGTTGACTTTTTTTTTCCATTCTCATCATTGAGTCATATCATCTACGAGATCCGGCTCCTGGACTGATGTTGCAACTATTTTCAACTTAGTGTTCAATGTCGGTAGTTGAGTTCCCGGCGATCCATTTTCAGAATCAACGTGGTCTAGGGTTCCGGAAGAAGATGAAACTTGCACATGATGAGATACGGCTAGTGACGGTGAACTGGGAGAACCAGCTAGTGCTGACTAGGAGCCCTCACTACTAGAATTCCGACATCGTCTAACGGTCCTCAAACGTCATCTAGGTCGTCTGTAACATTGTTGCAGCAAATGGTTGCGTATTTTATCCAGCATAGTTCTCATTTCCGCTGCTTAATCACGTCCAACCTTTTCCTTGCTATTCTCCATGTGCGATTCTTCCTCCTGTGAAACGTAGATCTCTGATACCAATGATAGGTACACAGAAACTTCGGAGTAGAAATATCGTTGATATCGTAGAAAAACAAGAGGAATACAAGGGAGGCCAATTCGAGAGGGCTTATCTCTCCGTATTCCGATTCTCATCCAAATCCCAGCCTAGCCCTCTCCCTTTCCTATTCCTTCTATTTATTCTTTACCAATGAGGTTTCCCCTCAATCTAACTAATACTTAGCCCAGCCCACTTCCTTTTTACACCTTATTAAAATATTCAATATTATTTCTATTAATTCTCTCGCCATAAATCCAGTTCCCTATCACTCTGATACCTTGTGAATTATATGAACTAGTTTTATTAATATAAATCTTGACACTAAAAAAACTATACAAAGAGCTACATTTATAGTTATAACTACAATATTAGGGTTTCTAGACAAGTTGGGTTAAGCCCAATATAACTAGGGTTTCAATAGTAGTATTAACACTATCATGGGGGCCATATTTAAACTAAATATTTAATCAAGAGGGCAAACTTTTCTTGCACTAATTTTTTCAACATTATAATTAGCTATGAGGTATAAAGAACACTAATTATGTCAGCACTCATAGGATTCCCCATTCATCCATGCAGGTTAATGAGTGTGTTTTTCTTTTTATGCCCTAGATACACACTGTTTTAGGTTGAAATTGATGTGTTGTCCTTTGCAGGTTCATGTTCAACACTTAAATTTTAAGCAAGATGAGGTTGGTGTTGAGGTTCGTGGACCTCCAGTTTCCAAAGCATTTGATAACCAAGGAAATCCAACAAAGGTGGTACCCCTTTGTTGTTTATGACCAGTTATGATTGGCTTCCATGCATAGTATGTGTGGAAGTATTTTATTGATCCCAATTGCAAATACAACCTCTCCTATACTATGATGTTTGTGTGTTTACAATCAGCCAATTATATACATATATGAATAGAGAGTAAAGATCATATCAGTTCGCCTGATGAGAATTGCGTTAGGCCAACTTCATATTTGGCTAAAAAAAGAATTGAGGAAATGGGAATACACCCTCGAACTATTAACGATTTTGTAATCAGACCCTTGAACAAAAAGACCTTGCTTATACGCCCCTCGATCTGTTGAAATCAAGCAATTGAATCCTTTTTTACCTGTCGGTGGTATCACTGTAACTTTCTCATGAGAAGTTACCGGCAACAGTAGGTAAAAAGGGGTTAAGGGCTTGATTGCATTATTTAAATGGGTTGATGGGTGTATTTGCAAGGTCTTCGTGCTCAGGGGTTTGATTGCAGAATCACTAATAATTCGAGGGCGTATTTTCCCTTTTTCTCAAAAGAATTAAATGGTCCACTTTTTTACCATTTCATATCAACAAGTAGTTTCACCCATTAGATAATAAAAAAATTAATTTTTCCAAGATTAATTTCATTTTTATCATGAATTAACTTTAACCATTAAATATGTATTATAGGTGGAAAGTGAGTTTGTCCTTCGAACAAATTTAAGATCCAACAGTTGAATCATTGACTTCATTTTAAGTAAAAAATGAAGTTGGATGGAAGGTAGTTCTGTCAGTCCGGATTGACAGGACCACTACCATATATATAAATGTATATGATTTGGATAAAATGAGAATGCGATTTGATGAATGATGAGAGAATTGAGAGCGAACTTGTTCTGTTTCATTTGATGGTTGTGCGTGATATAAAACACAAATTGGCATTATCATGAATAAGAAAATTTGGTGACATTATTATAAATAAATTGAACTTTTTTGTCAATATGAATTGTGCATTTTGTTAACAAAAATTTGCACTGCTATGAACTAGATGTGCACCATTTTGGACCATTCTCATTTCCCACGTGAAGAACCATTCTCACTAGAACTGGACCCCATATGTATGTCTATATACCCAATTAAAGTTAACTATGTATGTACATATACTAGCCAAGAAAATCCAACAAAGGTGGAACCCCTTCTAGTGATGTCAATCACACACTGTAGCGGCGGAGCGGAGGAGAGGTCTGGCGCTACCAGACCACCTGTAGCGGGGCGTTTGGGTGTAGCGGACATAGCGGCCGCTACACGGGTAGAGGTGAACGTTATAACGATGCTTTTTGCGATTGAAGGTCCGTTGGAGGTTTTTTGACCACAAGTGCACAGGGGTAAAGTAGACTTTTAAAACTAAACAATAACCAACTTAAAGCCCATGTACACCTACGAAGAAGTGTAGAATCCTTAAAAAATGGCTCCATGTTTTGAAAATAATCCATATGTTTTCTCTTCTCTCTGCTCTACGATGACCTCTCCTTCAAGAAAATGTTTTGCTCCATCCTTTTACAGAACAACCTTCACTCCTTCATTTACTTCAAGAACGACCTGTGCTCCTTCATCTTGTATAAGAATGACACATGCTGCACTCCTCTTTGTTTCTTTCCAGTGGTAGACTATTAATTTATCAAGGCTTAAACCAAGAACTTGTTTTTGATTCAATGTATTGACTTGAGATGTTTTAATCATTAATAGCAATTTATGTTTTGCTCATGAAACTACGGATTATCTCTCTGTAATTTAGGATTTATGAATTTTGAGATGTTTGCAACTTTCAATGGCATATATCATACTTTATTAATGTGTATGTAATGTAATTATATGCTTCTAGTTACTTATGTATTATACTCCCACCTTCCCATTTTATCTGTCCTACTTTCCTTTTTGGGTTGTCCTAAAATAGGTGTCTCATTTCCTCTTTTGGAAAGAAATATGTGGTATATAGCATTTCACTTTATTATACTCAAATCTCAACCACAACTTTTACTTTTTCAATCACTTTACTACTAATTGTGTCAAGTCAAAGTGAGACACATAAAACGGGACAGAGGTAGTACTTGAAAGTAGTTTTAATAGCGGTCATCCTCCTATCCGTTATACCGCTATACTGTTTTCAGGTCTGGCTGCTTCGCTCCGCTATCTAGGATTGACAACACTGACCCCTTCGATGTTTATGAGCACTTGTGAATGGATTCTATCATTTTATCCATAATATGTGTGGAATGATACGTATATATGTGTGTGTGTATATATTTATATGGGTGTGGTTCAAGTAAAACTTGTTGGCACTATTGGGCCCATCAGATCTCAAATCCATCATCATCATCATCGTCACCATTACCTCAGTGCTGCAAAGGCTCCCACCTACTGGGGGTAAAGGGGGTCGGATGTATGCAGTCTTACCCCTGTACTATAACACAGAGAGTCTGTTTCTGGATGACCCATAGTGAGAATCATGTCGAAATTTGCATGGATTGAGTGCTGCTTCATAACAAAGAAGCGCAGACAATTTAACAAGTCTTTTTGCTTTATTCCATCGTATTCACAAGCCAAAAAATAATGAGTCTTTGGCTCCATTGCAAATGATGAAATGATGGAAAATATCAGATATATAATCCAATGCACAAAAATCATTCTCATTTCTCACATTAAGATTTCTTTTTATACATATATATTATATTATATATTACATATTATATATTATTATATATTATATATATTATAGGGGAGAATTCAAATAAAAAGTGGTGCTCCCGTGCAAAGTGCGAATGGTTCCACTTTTCCATCACCGCGTTGCACTATTGCATGTTTCTGTTGCACTTATTCGCGGTGTCAAAAAAACTTCGGTTCATTTACAAAATTGCCACCGCATTTTTGATCAAAATTAGTGCATTATTGGCTCATTTTGAGCCATTAGATGTAAAAATGAATGCACAAGATTTATTCTCACTTTGTATGTGAAGTCTCTTTATATATATACATACATATATATATCTAGGGTGCGTTTTCAATGAGAACGATGCTTAACTTGAGAACATAAGAACACTCACATTTAATCCAATGTGATACACAATAGAGCCCATCTGGTGCACATTTTGACTTTGCTCAAAACAAGCCAATATAAATAATCACGGTGGCATTTTGGTAAATCTTATGCCGAACACAAAAAAGTGCATTGGGCGAGCCTCATCGTGCATCACATTCGGGTAAATGTGGTGTTCTCACGTTCTCACCTTAAGCATTGTTCTCATTTGATCCTAAATTTATCTATAGATATATATACATACGGTGTCTCTTAGTGAGAATTACTTATAGTTGAATTATAAGTAGTTAAATCGCTACTCGGTAGCAACTTGGTCAAGGGCCGAGTAGCAAGTAGGACCTAGTACTTGGGATTACTCGGGGACTACTCGGTTGTATATTAATTAATTTAGAAATATAAATATCCAAAATTATAGTACTATATATTATTCTTATAATTCTTAGATATGAAAAAAAAACTAATGAAGAAACGAGAAAGAAGATAGAGTCATGGAGAATAACTTACCTAAAGATGAGGAGGAACCATTGCTGGAATGAGCAGATGTATGAAATACTTTTAAACCTAGACTTTTTAAGTTTTATTTCCAATCTTTAAAGTACCCACTCATTATTTATAAATTCCACAATACCCCCCTCTAATTAAAACTTTTCAAATTTAACAAAAATAATAATTTATGCCTGGCTGAGTAACTCGCTGAGTTGAGAACTTCCCCGGGTACCTGACGAGTAACTCAGAAATAATATACGGACCGAGTCAAGTAGCTAATTGACAAGGCCACCACCCGAGTTGCGAGTACTCGCCGAGCACTCGCCAAGTAGATAATCGAGCTTGAATTTAATTTTTTGGCTTGGGGTTATTTTACTTATCACAATGGCAAAGACCACCTCTTCTATACAATAATGTAGGTGTTTATAATTATCCTTATTACAAGTGTTGCACACCTATATTATTCCTGTTAGTGCATTGTACTTGCATTGAAGTTTAATTATTGGTTATAGAATGAATCTATCCTTTTTGCTGTCAATCTACTCTTCAAGTTTCTAATGATTTTAATGGTCTCCAAATTGCTATTTGACATGAATGAACATTGCTCAGTACCGGTACATAAATTGTTGTTGACTTTAAGGTTCTTGGTAGGCTGCTGAAGGTTTTTGCCGTAAAAACAATGTTCCCATAAAGTCCATGTACAAACGGCCTGAAGGTATTTGTAGCACATATACATTTATTTCCTCTTCTGTCCAGTTAATATGTGATCTTATCATCTTTTGATGTTATGAGTTTTTAGATGTTACATGACTTCCTGGGAACTATGCAAAATGAAAGATGTTGCGTCATCTTATCCTGTTAATACATGATCTTATCATCTTTTGATGTTATATGTTTTTAGATGTTGCGTGATTCCTTGGAACTATGCAAATGAAAGATACAGAGAATGTTAATGATTTAATTACATTTGTATTTGTTGTGTTTGACATATTGTGCTAATGGGTAAGGATTTGAAGTTTAGAATGTAGAAATTGTAATGTAGCCATATCTATAGCCTTAGCCCTTTATATTCCAATGCTCTTATATCAACCTGTTTAGAGCCCGTTCGGTGATCCTGTTTTTCAGCTTATCAGGTTTATCTACTAACTTTTTCACCAAACACCTAACTTTTTGATTTTGCACGCTGAATTGAGTCATAATAAGAAAAAGTAAGGTTGAAGTTACTTTTCTGGCTACATTGGCTGAAGTTACTGTAGAAGATCATTTTAGCTATTTTCTCATTCCAACCACTTTAGCCGGAACTTCATAAATTTCAGCAGAATCAGCTAGTACAGCCGATTTGTGTATTACCAAATAAGCTCTTAATCTCCTATGTGATGCATGCATTAATATCCTGAATCTAAATCCCTCCATATTCCTGAAGAGCAGTTGCCATGCTTTTCAATCTCTCAACTCGACATGGTAGTTGAGGTTTAGATTGAACTCCTGAATTTCCAGCCTAAAATCTTACTCTCTCTGCCCTTTAAAAACATTACCAAGTTTGAGCGGCAAAAAAATTAATAAAGTAAAAACTGTGTGATTGAGATTTGTGTAGATGAGAGAGAAATAACAGGAACCATAAATTAATTGATTATAAGGGAAAATGACAAAGGTTTTGGGACAATCAAAAAAGAAAAGATGACAAAGTTATAAGGAACGAAAGGAGTATTATTTTTCGTGGTAAAGGCATAATTCCGCACAACTACTCTTTTTCACATTCTAAAATGCATTATGGGCTATCATAATAAAAACAAACACTCCATTTCAAGGTTAATGATAGAGGTAAGACCACATAATCTGATCGCAATATCACACATGGATTCTTCTACTAATCAAGTAATGTCATTCCTTTAGCCTTGTCAACAAGGCTGATTTTTGGTCGGCTGCAAGGATAGAGATAATGAACAGCTGAATTGTAAAAGATTGGAAACATGAGTATTGTTGAAATTAAGATTTCTAAACCATCAACTTAGAGTGCTTTGCACGAATATTTCAGGCCAATTGACAACTAACAATTTGTATTACAGGAATTTTATTCTCACGCATGGACGTCAGGTAACCCTTTGTTCGGAATATACTAGTTGCATTGAATTAAGCCTTTTAGACTTGTGGCTTGGTCAATATTTTCTTGCTGGGCAGGGCACTGTTCTTGTTGGAAGTGTAGATTTGTTAGGAATGTGTTCCTAATCCCCTTACAGTGGGGTGTAAAATGCAAATATTTCTGCCCATTAATTTCTTTTGCACACCAGCATAGAGGCCAGAACTGGCAGTTAACACGGTTTAAGTTGATAATAGGAGATGAGATCGTGTTCGTGGTAAGTGCTTATACACCACAAGTGGGATTGAATGCATCTATCACTCAACAATTTTGGGAGGATCTTTAGGAAATGGTGCGACGAGTGCCAAGGGGAGAGAAGCTGGTCATAAGAGGTGATCTCAACGGGGATGTGACCCCAAATCGTGATGGTTTTGAGAGTATCCATGGCGGACATGGTTTTGGCACTATAAATGAAACGGGGGAGAACATTCTGGATTTTGCCTCGACATATGAGTTGGCTATGATGAACACTTGGTTCAGTAAAAGAGACTCTCACCTTGTCACCTATAGAAGTGGAGCTAATAGTACACAAATTGACTACTTTTTAGTACGGACGACTTGGAGAACTAACTACACTGATTGTAAGGTTATCTCAGATGAGAGTGCTATCACTCAGCAAAGGAGTACAAGGAGGCTAGAAGAGCAAAGAAAGCTGTGAAGGAAGCCAGAGGAAAAGTGAACAACGAATTGTATGTAAAATTGGACTTTAAGGAAGGAGAAAAAGATATCTATAGACTTGCTCTCCTTCGTGACCGTGGGACTCAAGATATCAGAAAAGTTAAGTGTGTGAAAGATGTTGATTAAAGGGTACTAATCTAGGACGAGGAAATAAAAGAGAAGTGGAGGCCATAGTTTGTTACCTTCTTCAACGGGAATAAAGTGCAAGGTATTGATGATCTTACTATACCAGAGTGTATGGTAAATCGGGACTTCGTGAGAAGGATTCAAACAACAAAAGTTAAAGAGACTATGAGAAAAATGGGGTGGAAGAAAGCAGTGGGGCCAAATGGCATACCGATCGAGGATTGGAGAAGTTTGGGAGAGAAACACATCGAGTGGCTAACATAGTCCTTCAACATGATTTGGAGAAACAACAAAATGCCAATGAGTTGGTGGAAGAGTACTCTCATTCCCTTATTTAAAAATAAGGATGATGTACAAGAATGTGTCACCTATCGAGGGATTAAGCTTATGAGTCACACCATGAAACTTTGGGAGTGAGTGATTGAGCAAAGACTTCGTAAAAGTGTGAATATTTCAGAGAATCAATTTGGTTTTATGATTGGACGCTCAACAACCGAGGCCATTCACCTTCTTAGGCAAGTTGTGGAGAAGTATAGATACACAAAAAAGGATCTGCATTTGGTGTTCGTTGACTTAGAAAAGGCATATGATAGGGTACCTCGAGAAGTCCTTTGGTGGGCCTCAACTATAAAAAAGCCATATCACGTAAGTATATCAGTATCACCATGGACATGTATGATGTTTGTATTACCCAAGTGTCCGCATTAGTGTAGGGAGGACCGCAGAGTTCTCTATTACTATCGGAGTGCACCAAGGTTTTGCTCTGAGTCATTTCTTATTTGCTATAGTCATGGTTGAACTTGCGAAGTCAATTGAAGAAGATATACCGTGGTGCATGATGTTTGCCGACGATATTGCATTGATTGATGAGACACAATCATGTGTTAAAACAAAGTTGGAAGTATGATGACAAACATCGGAGACCAAGGATTTCAAACTGAGCCGAAGCAATACTGAGTATATGGAGTGCAAGTTTGGTGGAGGTAGAAGTAGTAACAGCAGTGGGATTACTCTTGATGGTAAGGAGATATCGGTGTGTGATATGTTCCGTTATTTGGGCTCCATAATTCAGAAGGATGATGAATTAGATGGAGATGTATATCATAGAATCAGAGCTGGGTGGATGAAATGGAAGAGTGCATCAGAATTTCTATGTGATCGAGGTATGCCGACTAGACTGAAAGGTAAATTTTATCGAACAATTAAGCCTGCATTATTGTATGGCGCAAAGTGTTGGGCGGTGAAGCAATGCCACATTCAAAAGATGAGTGTGGCAGAGATGCATATGTTGCGTTGGATGTGTGAACATACCAGAAAAGACCGCTTGAGGAATGAGATAATCAGACAAAAGGTGGGAGTAACATCATAGAAGATAAGATGCATGAGTCTCGTTTGCGGTGGTTTGGGCATGTGCATAGAAGGCGGAGTGATGCACCTCTTAAACGACTTGAGGGGTGGGGAAGAGATAGATAAGAGAGGAGAGGAAGACCCAAATGACTTGGATTAGAGGAATCAAAACTGATATGCGTCTTCTTGGGTTGGATGAGAGTATGTCTTTGGAGAGAGCAAAATGGAGGGCGCACATCCGTGTGGATGATTGATGTCTTTTTTACATTTCCTCTGTCTTTTCTTTTATTGTTTATCTTCTTTATCCTTTTGTATTCTTATGTTATTTTTATCTTCTAGCTTTTTTGTGCTCTTTTATCTTTCTCTTTTATCTTTCTTATATTCTTATGTTATTGTTATCTTATATTTATTTATTTTTACTTTATCCGTTTTATCTTACTCCCCCCGTCTGTCTCTCTGTTTGACATCGATATCATAGATCAATTCATGTTAGTCGACCCCAAATTCTTTTGGGATTAAGGCTTGGATGTTGTTGTTGTCAAGGTAGTCAAAAGCGCTCGCCCCAGCGCTTCAGCGCACAAGGCGCAGCGAGCATGACCCCCCAGTGCCCGGGAAAAGGAGAAGCGCACGTACCTGGGTCTGGCACAGGATAAACGCATGAAGCGCTAGGAGGTGCACGCCTGGGTCGCCTGAGCCGGAAAAGGCTGTTGGCCTTTTTTTTTAAAAACTTTCATTAACATTTAGCCCATATTTCTAATAACACTCAACTCATGAAAATAATAGGGTAAAACCAGTAAAACACTAAAACCTACGCAAAACTAAGAGTCTAAGTACGTAAATAACGTAAAATTTGCGCAAGACACTACAACTATCATCGTTAGTCATCCTCGCTCTCCTCACTCGACACTCAAGCCGCTACACACCAGTCTGTTCTTTTTGCTTTCGTCACCATCTCATGCAAACTCAGCTCTCCCTCACAGCACTAAACAAGGTATGTGTTCTTTTTCATGCAGTCCTCTTCATCCAAATACTCATATTACACTAGTGTCTAAATATTAGAGTGTATATGTGTAATAAAGTAATAATACTATGTATTGGTATATTCGTATGTATATAATACTCATAGTACATAAATATACTCTGCTTTGTGGTTTTCTAAAGATATTACTCTTATCTTTCGAGTATCTTAACTTTAAATATAATACTCAGTTCTGTGTTTTTCACTCTTTCCAACAATAATCTGTATATAAACAAAGATATTAATGAAGATATTACTCCGCCATAGGTCAGTGCATATCCAACTTTGATAACCACACAAGTACACAACCAGCTTTGATAAACACACAACCAGCTTCTAAAGATACTGCTCTGTTTGACCCAACCAAAGTAAAACATGGCTGTTAACAAAGGGCTGAGTAAAACATGTT